AAGCGGGGGGGGGGGTGCATTGCGTGTGGGTTGCTCTTGACTGGGCTGAAGATCTTGATGCAGGAGCCCTAGTGCCGACAGCCACGTCTTCACTGTGAAAGTGTGTGGCCTCGTGGCCTAGGCGGACTTGCCTGATGGCCGATGGCCCGTCTGACGGGGCAAGTGGAGTCCCATCACATAGGCCTCTGAGCAATAACCCCAATGACATGCTGTAGGTGCCAGCTGTCTCAGCGAGAGACAAGGTGAGTCCCGGCCAGGAAAGGGCGGGGCTGGGGTTAATCACTTCCTATTACAGTTTTAAAACCAGCGCTAGGGGGAAATCTGGAAAGTCAGAAGACCCTTTAAAATCCCTTAAACTTTGTAGGAGCTGGATTTGTATAAGTCCCAAGGTCTTTCGTTCTCTTGGCCTCTTGTCTGCAGCCGCCCTTTGTCTGGGTCTTTGGAGACCCAGCCTGGCTCTTAGGAGGAAGGGCCTGCTCAGCTCGCCCTCCGGTCCCTTCCACCGGCAAGCGCGGCATTGCATTCGTTCGTGTGTGCGGTTCCATGTGCGAGGAGGGCCTTCCCTTCATCGCTCCGCGGCCTCTGAGCTTCCCAGGCCCCTCCTAGTGAGGGTGCCAGGCTCCCACTAAGAACTTGGCGTGTTTTGTACCTTCTCCACCTGCCAGCATTAAGAGGAACATCACGCAGCCAAGAAATCAGCTCCTCACAAAATCCAGCAGCTGTGCTACACGGCTCCCAGAATGGAGGTGTGCGACTTGTGGCCGTTCTGGTCCCTTTGACAGTGTGGCAGCCTCCTGCCTCTCAGATCAGTGCCAGGACTCAGCATCCAGCTCTGCTTCCACGGAACAGCCCAGAGCAATAAAAGCACCAGGAGAGGCTCCCTGCTCTCACAGTAGCTTTCATGCTGCCCGTTTTTCACGTCTTGTTTGGGGCTTCTCTTTTGCTGATTACGTCCCTTTATGAAATTGTGAAGTCTCATTTGCACATCTCGGAATCTCTCCCTCTCTCTGTTTGCTGCAGGAGCTCTGGAAGGTCTTTGTGGAACCTGTAACAGAACTCATCGTGTCTGAAGACACAGCTTCTTGACTGTTCTTGTGGTGTTTCTAATAAAATTGAAAGCTCACAAAGTAATGTGCTTGAGATTTTATTGTTTAAAAAATACGGCAGGTGGGCCTTGTGTGACCCAATATGGTTTTCTGCTTCCCAGCAGCAGCCAGAGAACGTTACTGCCCTAGGCTGGGAGTCCATTTGGTTGCATGTGGTTTTTGTGCTGCCGGCTTGGAGTAGGTGTTGCAGGGTGTTTGAGAGCTGCTTGGTCAAGTTGGGCGGTGTTCTCAGCTTGGTTCCGCTGGAGCTGATGACCTTACCCAGGTGCTTCCCTTGGGGCAGGGGCCCCAGGCTGCACCCAGAGTCTTTTATGTTCTCTTCTTCTAACTGCTTACAAATGAGTTTAATATAACATCTTCACAGTTGCCGTAGTACCACCCGGCAAAATGGGGCACAGGAGCCTCCTTACCTTCCACGCTGCGTGTGCCCTGTCCCTGTCCCTCTGCTGGGGGCCCCTTCAGAGGAGGAGGCAGGAGCTCCCAGACTGGACGCCTCTGGCCGTGGCCCTTGTTTTATGTTTTAACCCTTTGTAACCAAAATCGGGTGTGCATAGAACAAACATAAAAGCCACTTCTTTGGGTCCTGCAGCTGCCTAGGGCCGGGGTCTGCGCAGCCACCTGCCTCGAGGGCATTTCCCTTCCTCAGCCTGGCCTTGTTCCCCCTGTCCCCTCAGTCTCTCCACCATGCGCCACCTGTGCACGTGTTTGTCTGTCTGGTTTTTCATCTTTTTGTCTGTGCCTCTGCTGCATCTCACCCCCTCCTTCTTGCTCTCCCCCTTTACCTTGTCTCTTTATGCCCCTCCCACCACCTCTCCCTCCTCCTTCTTTCCAGTTAGGGTCCCTCCCACCCTCCCGGAGGCTCCATTTCCCCGCCTCGCTGCTCCTGCCCGCTTTCCACCAGGGCCCGGCATGCCCCTTCCCCGGCTGCCCCTGCAGCTGCAGCTCAGCTGCTCCTGCCCACGTCGCTTCTCCCCAGGCACAGGTCTGATTGCCAGGCCCGTCGTATCCCTCACCCCTGGTCATTGGCTTATCCTGACACCGTGGGCTAGGCTTTTGCAGGTCTCAGTTCATTTCATTTTCCCAACAACTCTAGGAAGTTAGCAGCCTGGTTAGACCCATTGAACAGTTGAGAAGACTAAGGCTCCAAAAGGGAAAAATCTCCATGAGGTCAGGGACCCTGTTTGTCTTATATACCAGTGTATTCCTGGCACATGATCCTGGCCCAAAATAGGTACTCAGCACATATTGTTGGGGGTTTTTTTGTTTTGTTTTGTTTTTGCGGTAGGCGGGCCTCTCACCATTGTGGCCTCTCCCATTGCAGAGCACAGGCTCCGGACGCACAGGCTTAGCGGCCATGGCTCACGGGCCCAGCCGCTCCGCGGCATGTGGGATCTTCCCGGACCAGGGCACGAACCCGTGTCCCCTGCATCGGCAGGCAGACTCTCAACCACTGCGCCACCAGGGAAGCCCTCGGCACATATTGTTGAATGAATCATTAGTAGGAATTACTGCTTAGGATGGTGGTTTTCAGTTGTGGGCAGTTTTGCTTCCAGGGGCATTTAGCGAAGTTTGGAAACATTTTGGGTGGTCACCGCTCGAGGAGATGGGTGCCACTGGCCAAGGAAGCTGCTAAGCATCCTGTCCTGCACGGGAGCCCCCCCAACAAAGAATGGTCCAACCCAAAATGTCAGTGGTGCCAAGGTGGAGAAACCATGACCTGGAAGAAGAGAATTAGCTACTTTAGGAAAGAAAAATGGGCCTCAGCCATACCTGCCATGAAAGCAGTGCAGGAGAATGAGTCCCAGCCCTTGCCTCTGGGAGTGGAAGGAAGTCTGCACACATCATCTCTAAATCTTACAAAGACCCCAAGAGGAGAAAGTATCCCCATTTTAAAGTTTATTTATTTATTTATTTTGTTGCGGTTCGTGGGCCTTTCACTGTTGTGGCCTCTCCTGTTGCAGAGCACAGGCTCTGGACGCGCAGGCTCAGCGGCCACGGTTCACGAGCCTAGCCGCTCCGCGGCATGTGGGATCTTCCCGGACCAGGGCACGAACCCGTGTCCCCTGCATCGGCAGGCGGACTCTCAACCACTGTGCCACCAGGGAAGCCCCAGTATCCCCATTTTAAATGTGAGAAATCTGGGACTTCCCTAGTGGTCCAACAGTTAAGACTCCATGCTTCCATTGCACGGGGCACGGGTTCAATCCCTGGTCAGGGAACTAATATCCTGCATGCCACGTGTTGTGGCCAAAATAGATAGATAGATAGATAAATAAATAAATGTGAGAAATCTGAAGTTCAGAGAGGTTAAACAATTTGCGCACCATCACACAGCTGCCAAGTGGCAGAGTCAGGCTCCCAGCCCGGGCCTGTGCTCTTCCCACATCCCCACAGTGCGGTGCCTGGACTGGCAGCGCCGGCGGCAGTGGCATCACCTGGGAGCTTGTTAAACATGTAGCAGCAACACAAGCCCAGACCGGAGTCAGATCTGCATTCTGACAAGACCCCGGGTGATTTGTGAACACAGTGCTTTGAGATGCATAGCATTTGAGCTACTCCCACTTTCGAAGGTTCCTACACACACAAAAAAAATCCCTGATAGACTCGCCATAATCAGGCATAATCCCTGATAGACTCGCCATAATCGTGCAGATCACGATGGGATTTATTAATAACGAGTCTTCGAAATAGAACCCCCGCCCCAGACAGAGCCCCAGCTGCTGATGTATCAGCATTACCGGTGACATTTTCCTAGTGCTCCTGGGGACAGGCCTATAAATGTAATTGACACCAAGCAATAGAGTTTGTCACGCCTTTCACCTGGCACGTTAGGGCAAGTGCTTTTATGTCCGAACCACTTGGCCTGAAAGCTTCCTCTAAGTGGAGCCTGGAATTAATCTTGATTCACTATAATTCCAGGCATCACCAGATTTTCACTTCTCAGAGTGGAAATGCACCCTTATCGCCGTGTTTTAAGGCTTTGCTTGAGCTTCTGTAAGTGCTTGTTTGGCAGTGCTATTTCAGAATCATCAAACCATCAAGGTGTTCTGCTAGAGAATTAACCCAGGCCATTGGACTCAAATTTTTTTTTAATATATTCTAACATTTTCAGAGGATATATGGCCCAGGGAGGGGACTTGACTTGGTGGTTCAAGCCTACACGGGAAAGATTTGGTAAAACCAACAAATAGTAACGCTGTGGGCCCAGCACTTCTCAGATTCTATGCACGTGAATCACCCAGGGTTTTTTTTTTTTTGGCTGTGTTGGGTCTTCGTTGCTGTGTGCGGGCTTTCTCTAGTTGCGGCGAGCAGGGGGTTACTCTTCGTTGCGGTGCAGGGGCTTCTCATCACAGTGGCTTCTGTTGTCGCAGACCATGGACTCTAGGCGCGCAGGCTTCAGTAGCTGTGGCTCGCCGGCTCTAGAGCACAGGCTCAGTAGTTGTGGCGCGCGGGCTTAGTTGTTCCGCGGCATGTGGGATCTTCCCGGACCAGGGCTCGAACCCGTGTCCCGTGCATTGACAGGCAGATTCTTAACCACTGCACCACCAGGGAAGCCCCTTACCCAGGGTTTTGACAGACGCAGATGCTGACTCAGTCCCGGGTGGGGCTCGATGCTGCAATTTACCAGGCTCCCAGATGATGCTGGTGCAGGGACCACATTGTGAAGAGCAAGACTGTAATATGTCATCCCTGGTTAAGGGCACAAACTTTGGGGTTGGGCAGACCTGGGTTCAATCCTGGCTCTGCCACAGACCAGCCAGATGACCTTGGACAACCGACCTAGTCTCTCTGAGCCTCAGCTTCCTCATCTGTAAAATGGTAAGTCTCCCCCTCTTCATGGAGTTATTGTGAAGATGATATTAGATAATCTGAGTTATCTAATTTTTAGTAGATTGCAGGTATTGTCCTAATGTAGAGTTGTTTGGTTTGGGAGCATCTTCAGTTTGTACACCGTGGCCTGGGTGATTTATAAGGTCTGGTTGTCTGTCATCATCACCTGCTAGAGGAATCACTGAGAGCCATCTCTACCTCTCTGTGTACATAAAACGGATCCTGGGAATTCCCAGGCAGTCCAGTGGTTAAGACTCGGTGCTTTCACTGCTGTGGCCTGGGTTCAATCGCTGGTCGGGGAACTAAGATCTCACAAGCCACACTGTGCAGCCAGAAAAGAAAAAAAAAACAACAAACAAAACAGATCCTGTGTGTTACCTATCCTGCCACAATAGCTGGGCAGAGAGCAAATTTGAAAAGTCATACTGAACAGGCCTGCCTTAAATTCCAGGATCCGTGTTACACACAAAGGTCACTTTGGAGGACCTGAGTGGCCCTCAGAGGAATAGGCAAGTCACCCTCAACACACTGGTGGGGGAGACCACTGCCTGGGGAAACGATCTCAGGGTCCAGGTATCTCATACAGGGTGGAGCTAGAAGTGGGATGTTGTGTCTGCCCCATCCGAGGAGAAACACTAGTGCATGGGGCTGACCCTAAATTGGCAGGCAGGTCCTGGCCCTCCGTGACTCTGATGTAAAGCATCCTGGTAGGAGCCCCAGCTTGCTGTGTCTCTGCATCAAGGTGACCCGTAGGCCTCTGGGCTCTGGGCTGCAGCAGCCGTACTGAGTACCTGGGCGCTGGTCCTCCCGATGGGATGACGACACCATGCGTGCTAAGGTCCCTGCCCTGCAGTCTTCTAGAAAGCTACGCAAGTGTGGTATTAGATCTCAGGAATGTGACTGCAAGGTCGAACCCACCTCGGCCAGCGCATGGGCTGAGGTGCTGAGCAGGTGGTCACACTGCAGACAGTGGAAGAAGGCAGGGGTTCACCCCTGGTCCCAGCTAGAACCCAGGACACCTCCCAGACTGTGCCGTTCCCCACCCGGGGTGGCAGCCCCATGCCCCAAAGCAGGTGTCAGCCAGGACTTGCTGACCCAACACTGCTGAGTGGTTTTTCTCCACAATACTGGGGCAGCCAGCTGGTGGCT